AAGTTACAAAGACTGAGTCGCGAAAATTTAGGCACTTTTGATATTGAGATTTTTCATTCTCAAAATGCTTAAATATTTGTGGATATGTTTATTAGTATAATAATAAAAAGGATAAAGTCGAGTTAGAATAAGCATCAACAGAAAGCCCGCCATTTTGTAAGAAAATCTCCAAACGACAAGAACGTCGAAGAAAAATGATAATAAAATAACACAAATATGGCAGAGGGAAATGCTCGTTATGCGAGGATTTTCTTCTCGCTCCCGACTCTTCCTTCTATTCCTTTCCATTTTATTTTTATTTTATGTATTTGCCACATAAGCAGCTTAAGTGGCAGCAGAGGGGGATAGATAGGGCTCCAGGCATATACGGATTTACATAAAAACATACTCGTGTGTGTGAGCTTATACATACTCTGTATGCCATATCAAAGGCAAAAGGATCAGGCATAATGCCGACGTCGCCGCATGTGCCATAATTTGCAGAAAAGTGCCAGGACAGCCACCCAACCACACAGCCCCAATCCAATTCCGATCCCATTCCCATTGCCATTTCCACCCAACCCGGGCTGGCATTAAAATGCCTTTCGAACAAGGATAACATTTTCGCTTTCTTCCAGGACGAGGGGTATATGGCACATGGGGGCGAAATGGGTGCATGCCATAAAAACAATAGCGCACATAAATTTTGCACAAATATATAAAGTATGCAAAAAGGCATAAAAACGAATGAAAAGATGGGGTAGGGGCTTTCCCGGGAAATGAGCTGTGGGGGAAAGCCCCTCACAAAAACACACTCGTACAAACATGCACATCCACGAAAATCGTAAAACATAAGTAAGGATACGAAATATTTGCGATTTCATTTCGTTTATTTTTCTTTTTTCCGGTTTTATTTCGCACTGATTTCGCAAGAATTTTAACAAGGTTTTTGTATGGGTACAATTATTTAGGGAACACCGGGAAAATGGTAGTTGGAATATACATATATTATTCAAAATAACCAAGCATGTCTTTAAGGAGGATTTTTTAAAAATTTTTCTTGAAGACTAAAAGGTTTAAATACACCTAGCTCTATTGAAAAACAGGATTTAAAACCGTTTTGAGTTATTTAACTGTTACCTACTAAAAAAAGTTAACACTGTACTACATTAAAGATTTTTTCCATGTTAAAATATTTATCCGATCAGAATTCAAATCTTAAAATGTAATTATCAAATCTTTGGATGATTTTTCCATATGTTTTGTGAGGACATCACTATCGATCCGGAGTTTATCAGGACCTTCTGAATCCATCATATTTACGTAATGACACCAACAGCACCCACTCCAGGACATCCTGATATCGGAGGATATCAATCTTCTGCATTAGTCGAGGCAATCGGAACAAATGCGAAGGCCGGAGGGCATTCACATTCACGCATCTCCATCTTTCACGGGGTCACAGATGTTGGTATTTGCCGGCGTCACCGTCGTCACCCGTAATTGGACATCGGCAGCGGGTCAAGTGCCCTGTTCCTCCTCCTGAATTCACCCCTCACCTCGCCGTATGTGATTTTCCGTGTTTTCCATTTGATTTTTCGTTTTTTTTCACTGATTTCTCCCTCTGCCAGAGTTTGCCCAAGTGCATGAATTTGTCGTTTTCAGACATTTATGCTTTTTAGTTTATTTGCCGGTTCGAGGTGGTGGAGGGTGTGCCGGCATAGTTTTATGAGTGGACCCTGTGCGCTGGCCATCAGGAGTCGTCCCTGGCCGGGGTAACTCCATGTGTAATTGGGAATTTATTAGTCGCCAGAGACTCATTTACATTTCATCCTGTGGGGATGGAGTGGGCGGCATCGCAGGACGAAGTGCGGGTGAGCAGGACACTGGCTGATCCATCGGACGTTGCTGTAATTATTAGCCATTCTTTTATTTATGGCAAACAAAGTTTTGATTTATCCCGGACAGGCTGGATTCTCAAGACGAATGCCGGGAACTTGGTCAATAAATTTCCGAAATTGTCTATCGCTCTGCCATACAGAACTGATTTATTACTAATTGCTAGTCATAAAGAAAGGAGGAACACCTGGCGTTTATTTACTATCTTCTAGTAACTTACATTAATTACTTTTCATATGATGTTGGTTATTTAACCCTTACATAAAACACATCTGGTATTATTATATATAAATTAAGATAATTTGTTTAATATTGTGTATGTTTAATATTTTTCCAAATATATATTAAAAACCAAATGCTCGATCGGCCGAATCAATGAATTTACCACTTTAAAGTTTCAATTAGTGTAAGTCGTTGCATGGGGAAACTGAAATCTAAAATAAATTAGCTTCCCAGATGAGTTTTTTAATAATTCTGAATTAGCTCTTATTTGTCTTTATATAATAAGAAATATATAGAAAAATATTTTGTCTAGGTGGAAAAATTTCTCATTGCTAATATTAATTTTTATTTAGTTAGAATTAGTACTTGGAAGGTATGTACAGATCTATTAGTATTAAATTAAAGAAAAACCTTAGCCTGCTAGAACTCATCTGAACGCAAGCTTAACTTGTCCGTCATACGTTTAATTTAAGCCTCGAATTTGTGGACTGCCGAAGGTCCTCGTTAATGGAAGCCGTGTTCGACGGGTCACGCATAATCTTATTAAGCACCGGACTCCAACTCCGCTCCCGTTTCAATTGAAAAATGGAGAAGAAATTTCAACAACGTCACCAATTTCCGGCAATTATTTCGACTGTCGGTTGATTTAATTTATTCGTTGCTCAAAATTAAAACCAAACCAAAACAAAGAAATCCCCTTGTCCAAGTAGAGCGAAATTGTAAACAGGCCACATCCCCCGACCACCTCCTCCTCCCCATCCCGGAGGTCCTGGCCAGGGTTCCATCCCAATCCCCGCCTTATCGCCTGCTGGGTTTGTTGGCGCGATTTTTCATCCCAGGCGCAATTGGTTTTCAATTCAGGGCCATGTAATCCCCCAGCTCCATGGGATATTTCTGGGGATTTATGTTGTTTTTTCTTTGCTAGACGAGGAGTGGTATGCTGCGTGGGATCCCTGCATATTATTAGCGAGCGCCGCGTGACTGTGAGTTCAACTTTTAATCGAATGCACATAATTGCCAAAATAAATCAATCAATTCGGCTCGGCTGACTTCTAATGAGAACCGACAGTCGCCAAGGCATTCCCACTTTTGAACTGAGCTTAAGTCCAGTTCTTATTGGTTACATATGGGCCATTTGCATAAATTACACTTGACAAGATATTAGCTTAAGCTTTACTACATGGCCTGTCCTGGAGATGAAATATCTTAATCTTATTAGTCATCTTAGCAAAAACCACCAAAATGATTTTATTTTTACCCTTAAGCTGTGAAAGATGGTTCATCTTAAATTTTTTATAATCTCCCTTTATATTTTTATAAAATGTATATAAATTATCAAGAGCATTCGGAAGATGACAAAGTTAATCCTAGGGCTGAACTTTGTGGCGCAGTGTCACTTTCACAGAAGTTATTCCGGGTACGGGGCAACCTTTAACGACTTGGTTTACGTATCATTTGACTCGGGAAGGAAGGCAGTTGGCTAATGCCCCGTCTTAGGTAAACATAAATATCCGTGTTCCGTCCGATAGTGATCTCAGTCTGACTCTCCTCCTTCAGTCAGTCACGTGCCACCGGAGTCGCGCCTCCGTCTCATTTTGTAATCCGCGAGAGATATGGCCTCGACGACACGCTCCCACCGACTCACTCTGCACCCATTATGAAAATGACAAATGGAGCGCAAGTGTCCACCTCCCCGGAGTAAATAGAACGGGGTAGGCCCGGAAAAGATCCCGGAACGCGTGAGGGATTACGTGTCAAAGGATTAGAGACAACACGAACTCCAATGTTCCCACCTCGGGGCTTAATTCAGATACGGATTGATTTACCATCGCTGGGAATGCGAAAGATAACTATCGTAATTGAATCGACACAGACCCCGTTTTTGGTAAGTTTGGGGAAATCGGCTAACGTCCGATCTTACGATTCAACCTGCTTTAGAATACTGGTGAATTATTTATATAGCACAATTGGAGAAATATTTTACTTAAGCCCGTTACTTGCCAATATCTATCGAATTAAGCAACATATTTCAATTCAGAAAATTGCTTGACAAGCTGCTCAGAAAAACCTTTGCGTCATGTGTTTTATCTGCTTGCTTTATTAATGCTTTTTAAATTTTGGGAATTTACTATTCATACTCAATAATATTTAGAATGACAGGAAGTTCCTTCAAGAAGATATTAATATTGGAAAGTTTAAAAAAAAATACATTACTTAGTCATTTTTTTTGCATATGTTAAACTGCAATTTCTGCACGTCATGACTAGAGATTATTCAGTCTTTGTAACCAAACTCATATAAAAGCCCTTTCCGAATTCAAAAGAGTTCAGTTTCCATCGAAAAGTACCAGCTACAGTGCGAAGCTATTTAAATAAAAATAAAATATAAAAAAAGTATACACTAACTTTCAAAATTCATAGCTGAATTAAGATCAGGCTTTTACTGAAAATTAATTCTGTATAATGGGAGTTAAAGGTAAACTTGTTTGGCGTTTTTTAAACTAAAATAAACAAATTATCTTACGAAAAGTTTAAAATCTTTTGAAAACCATTTTTTAGGAATCTTTTCTTTCATCTTGTTATCAGTGGTGCTACAGAGCTGCGTCCAAGCGAAGCTTTCGGTAATATTATAGTATTATTTAATACCCACATATTAAATACAGTTTCCATATACCTAATCTCTATTCTATTCTCAAATAATAACAGTTATACTTAATTTTGACGATGTTCATACAGTTATGTCAAAACAAATAAGATTTACTATAAGTAATCAACGAAAGAAATGTAAATAATTTTTTTAAACATTGTTACTTAAAAATTTCAGTTTAGTCAAAGAGTTCTCAATGCCCACAATTATTATCGGGCCATGCATAACGCTCCACCTCTAACTCTGAACCGCAAGCTGAGTGAAGTGGCCTCTAATTGGGCTTATGTAAGATCATCCGAAATTTTTAAGAATTTGAAACTTTTTCTAATACATTGTTCCAATTATTTAGACATTGATGGCTACAAACCGAAGGCAGCATAGCACCAATGGATATGGAGAAAATCTCTACTGGACCAGCCTGACAAATCCAAATCCCGCTGATGTAGTTAGAGCTTGGTATAACGAGATTTCGGAATACAACTGGAATTACCCTTCGTTCAGCAAGCAGACTGGGCACTTCACTCAGTTGGTGTGGAAGAGTACCAGTGAGTTGGGCGTCGGTGTTGCCCAAAGGTAAAAAATCTATACAGCAGGAATACACGAATTTTTATTGATCATTTTTTTATAGGGGAGACGACATCTATGTTGTGTGCAACTATAATCCCCCTGGCAATATTAAAAACCAGTTCAAGAAGAACGTAGCTTTTCCTAATAAGAAACGGAGGAATCAACGTGACTAACACAGTAAATAATGCCGTACCCTCACTGATGTACATTGTACATATTGTATTAACAAATACTATTAGCATTGCTTTACTTTAAATTTTTATTAGTTTTGTTGAAAATAATCAGAAAATAAAAGATTTCGTTCTTACTAATAAATGCATTTTTATAATTTATCGTTTGTAACATTTATAGTTCTGGAAATTATAAAAGTCTGACTGACAAAAACATTTTACAATTACTTCAGAGATTGTGGTTCTGAAAACCAACCTTATAAATAAACATACTCGTAAAGTAGAAAGACAAATTTTCCTTAATTAGGATATGATGATTTCGTTGATTTAAAGATATAATAACTTGTAGGATTCTAGCAGTCTTTTTCCCTCAAAATAGCTTTTAAAAATTAGCTCTTTATAATACATATCTATCGATGTTGGCATCAATTAGTTTTTTGAATTAATTTAACGACAAACTACAAACTACGAAGGAAAGCTTTCAAAAATCAGTTTAAAAAAATTTGAGAAGACCCAGCTCTTAGGTGGGGGACATCCCGCTGTGCTAAGAACGCTGGCAAACAAATTTGTGTTAAAATTTCAACCATAATTTGGTGACACCGAAAAGCACAAGAAGGACTCTGTATTTCAATAGGTGGGGTGTCAGGACTGAGCTGCCGGAACTGACGAGGACGTTATTAGCCGCAGGGGGAGTTGAATTTGGTGAAGGATGGAGATAAGGTCGAGAAAAGCCTGATACCTTAGAGGGGTGGTTTGATTTTTACAAAGGACTGCGGCCGTCCACAATTGAATTTTGAAAAAACTGCAAAACGCATTTTTCAAAATGACAAACAAACCCCACGAAAAGTGAAACGGAAACAAAAACAAACAACGGAGCCCAAGGAAAACAAAGTAACCTGAGACCGATTCCAAGTTCAAACGAATGATGATGATGATGAGACTGCGAATGGCGGGGTGGATCTGGTAAGAATAGGAAGACCCGCAAGGGGGTGTGAAATCGAAATAAGTATAAACAAATAGAAGCGCACAGTAGGCAGCTCAATTTGAACAAAGTCAAATGGACTGGGCGACGAGGGTTCAGTTTTTTGCCGGGGTGGTTCGACTCTACATTTTGGCAATTATAGTTCCGAAATGTATACATGCAATGTGCAAGGCTTTAAGCAAACAATAAACTGTTATCAATCAGTTTTACATGCGTATCAACACTATTTTTCCAGAGGGTCCTTGATTTTTTGTAAAAGGTGGTGTTAAATGGAAAATCTTAGGCATATCACATGCTATCGGAACTTTTAGATAAATAGTTTCAACTAGTTTAGATTATATTTATCAAAATATGCATAAGGTCGGAATATATTTTAAAATTTTTTATTTATTTATTTATTCTCAGGTTAAAAGTCAATTGAGAAATTACCTATAACCTATGCTTTTTATACTTTATTGATAGGTATAAAATATAAATTGTAAATTTTAACGAGTATCTATTCTCTTATTTGAAAGTCAAATCAATTTAGAATTTGGTCGAATTTAAAATCTTGAGATAGTTGGTAATTAAAATATATAATCTATTAAGTTTAAACAATTTTAAAAGCTTTTGGATTATGACACAACTATAACCGCTTCCTGGGGTACAAAAGTAGTTAATGATACGCCTGATGGCTTACAGTATTTTTATTGTTCAGTGTACTTGTCGTGACAGTTTCGCCAATGATGGGCCTTGAAATAAAGTGTTCCGAGTTCGAGTGTGTGTCCGGGTGGAGCGAACAGAACCGCAGATGTCCGGTTCCAGCGATTTTCCATCGCGACGGCAGGCGGTCTCATTAAGGCGCCAAAGTGCAGGCCAATTGCAAGGGGCGGGACGAAAGGGGGGGCGTACCCTGGGCCGCGGGCATAAATCACACCGTTTAATAACTAATAAACGCCATCGCTCAAGTGGCAGCTGTCAGCTTGTCAGCGGCGTCCGAAGAGCGTGAAATTGTCGCAGAGCCAAGGGCCAAGGGTCAGGAGGGCGAAAGGATGGGGACGAAACAAGGAAACAAGGACAGCACAGCGGTCGTTCCAAGTAAAAAACACCCCAGAGGAATCCATCAGTTTCCGTGATTTCCGTATATTAAGTCATCATTTTCGGTCCCAGTTCAGCAGCTCCCTTGGGGAAAGTCCGGCTCGTTCGGGGAAATAACTTAAAATTGAAGCTGGGACAATAATGGTGGATGAATCTTGTGTCCGCGCTGTCTGATTACAAGAAAAGTTAAGTGCTTCGAATCGAAATGGTTATGGAGGGTATGCCCTAGCTCTGGGATCACTTTCTTGTCCAGGTTTCATTAGTGGTTAATGTCAAACACAATGGGCAAGATTTTAGAAATCTTTACTACGCGTTATCTAGGCCTATCGACCTTTTTTAAAAAAATGCAGTTAAATTGATAGTGCAAAAAGTATTAATAATTAAAAAGGAGGATTGATATCGTATTAATTTCTTATAGATGGGAAGTACTATTACTTACAAGTGGACATCATCACTATAAAATGTAGCAAACAAGTATGATTCACCCAAATAAACATTTAATATTAGCATTTAAGTACTCATTCCTAAAAGTACGCTACAATTATAATTCAATTTATAGATATCTGTTCCTATTGCTGTCATGTTGGCGTAGTGAATTTGTTTCACTATTAAAATTTGTTATTTTTCTTACTTTATACACGTCTTACATAACTTAGGTGCCTTAAAAGCTTCTTAATTAATAAAATAATAATCATTTTCTATATTTTCACTTGGATAAAGGGTGGATTGATTTTATATTTATTTATTTATATTCCCTCTAAGCCAGGTAATTGAAGCCATCCTCCACTGGCTGACACCCCGTCATCCATTTAGATGTGCTACAACAAATGCACTCATTTGCTTGCAGGTGTCTAAATCCCCCGCCCACTCCCTTTCGAAACCTTTGCCCCTGGGGGAGCACTCTAATGCGTCAAAATCCTTCAACTTTTCGCAGCTTTTGCGAACAATGCGGTGGGCGAGGGGCGTGGCTGCTGCTGAGCTGAAGAGCCCTTAGCTTTCCAGTAAAAACAAAAACAAAAGGAAAAACTCCACAACGGGAACAAAAAAATCGTAGAGAGAGACTGACAAAAGTATTTGAATTGACAAGTGCCATCAAAATAGAAGCGGAATTAAATTTATCATGCCAAGTGGTGGCTTCGCGAGGTGGGGTGTAATGTAAGGTGAGGCCAAAACCAGGAGAGCTATAGCTATGATGGGCTGTCAGGGGATGAACACCCCACCGAGGCAACAGTAACATCAACCGGCTGAAGCAGCGTCATCGATCAACTCGAGCGGAAGACAGTTCCGCCGGAAGGAAGGCGAACTTTTAAATATTGAATAATATGTTTTTCTTTCCCTCGAAACCAGCCAGCCCCCAGCCACGCCCCATTTTGACTTGGCTCGTTTTGACTTCCAAGAAGTTGGCATAATGATGGGGCGAATGATGAGCGAAATCTTGACGGCTCTGCACAGTGTTACCAGTAGCTAAAAACATTATAAGAAATAGCTGAATATTCTTCAAATTATTTACTTAAGCTATAATGTTTAATTTAATGTATAAGTCAATCAACCTGAAAAAGACGGTAGTTGTATTATTTAACTATTTTGGTAAGGAATACTAATTACTTTAATTATTTCTAAATATTTAATTTTTAATATACAGGAACCACTGTCAAAAAGTGTGCTAAATCGATCAGCATTTAGATGATGATGACGACAATGACGAAACGCTTTCGGCTTATTGGGTAAACAAATCAGCTCAAACTCCAAAAGTGGAGATAGCTAAACGATATATGGTGGGGAGACATGACAACGAGCTCAGGATGAAATGGAATAGGATGGGAAACTCTGCTATTTGAAACTCTGCCGCCTTGGCACTTGGATTTGCAACGCCGCCAGGCGTTTATATTACGGCATATTTTGAATGGGCTTTTTAATTTGTATTTAATTTCATAATTAGAGCTGAGCCCCGACACGTTTCTGGTACGCTCGGATTACGAAACACGCCACGCGACTCCATTTCTTTCAGGACACCCGACCTGCGACTCCGGCGAATCGTGTTAAATGTAATCCGCTTAGCGTTCATAATTTCTGCTAATATGTGCAAGGACCTCAGGTTCGTAGGGCTTTCCAGGACCGACAATTATTCCCAGGCCAGGAACAGGGAAATCTGTGAAAAAAGAGGTGGACTCTCGGTGGAATCCTGTCTGAAATATGGCCTCTTGTTGGGCCTTTCAATGTAAACATCGCCCGAGAAGTGGACAAATCGTTCAACTAAAAACGACAGCAATCAAACAAAATTGAATATCAGCGGAAACGGAAACGCCAAAAATCGACAGCAGCAACTGCCAGAAAAATGCTGGAAAAAGCGGATGTCAGTGTGACATTTGGTGGGGCAGGGATCTGGGGGAGTACGGATTGCGGGGGCTCACGGCAATTGTTACGTGTCAATAACTGCAATAAAAAATCGGACTGCAACTGCAGCCCCCTGCCAGCCCATTGGCCCCTTTCTCCGGCAGACTGCGCCTCAATAACTCTGCAGCTCAAATCAAAATCAACGTTGCATTTCAATTGCGAAATTGCCAACTGCCAAACGTCCACATCCGCTCATCAATCGCCCCAGGAAAAATCGGGGTCCATCGTCCAGATTGTTTCACCTTTGTCCCTCCCTTTGGATCGGCGGACAGGAGAATATTAAAATAAATGTCCATCAGTTAGTTATTCCAGCGAGTTATTTGTTTCGTTCGAGATTAAATTAAACTAGGCCGTGAATGGTCTGTTAGCTGAATCGCAGAAATAAGAGTAGATGAAAGCGCCTTTTAATCTATTTCGATTGACGGGAAACATTTTTCATAGCAAACTTTTAAGCTTGAAGTGAAAATGATATCCCAACATTATGTTGGTCGTAAAAGAGAACTAAAATAAGGGGCTTGATTTGAAATACACCTACTCATCGGAATTCCCCATAATTATTAAAAAGAATGAATTTTAAAGAATGAATTTAATGCCGTAAGCAGAATCCAAATACATGTTATATCTCTCCATCAAAATGAGTATTTCATGTAAAAATTCCGCTTTTTGTTCAAATTAAATCCATAAACAATGGAAAGTGAACATATCATTCGTTGTCTATTGCCATATGTTATTTTATCTGATCTGCAGATCGCACCAGTTAATTGCGCAAAATGTTCTACGGGTTGGTTTAATATGCATTATCTAATCTGGAGGGACGCATCTGCAGTGATCTATTGAGATGTCACCGTGGGCCCTCGATTCGAGTATCTGAAAAGGGAAATTGCAAATGTATTCCGGGTGCCAGATCTATTCAACTTTTTTGCATTCCGCTGGGGTGACTTTGATGGGCTCATGTTGCAGCAGTTATTAACACTCTGTTAGCGATTTGTCACAAAAATGCCTCGAATGACATGTGTGCAAACAAGACCAGAAAACGGCGAAAAGTATGACAGTTCGGGGTTGCAGATAGTCCTCGAAAGGGGTGTCCTTGCAAGGATCTCGGATCCACCCTGCCGATGGTGACCAGCGACCCGAGATTAATGAACATGTTGTTTACTTTCAATTTGACACAAAACTTAAATTTAAACTCGATAAGCGCAGGCGGGTTTTCGAAAATGATTTCCATCGCTTTTGCTACCCATTCTGCCTTCATTTTTAACCCATTCCACATTGTGCCAAGTATTTATGCATATCTGCAAAAGTTTAATTAAAAACACATCAAACTGCAGACTCACAGGAATCAATCACAATTACCAATCGCCGTTGAGGGTCGTCCTGAAAAATTGGCAAAATGTGAAAAATGCACAAGGATAAAACGGAATCAAAGGAATTCTGCCCTGGCCAAAGGGAACTGTACAGGAAGTGACCCCCAAAGGCATCGACGCGAATGTATCCATAATAAATGCTGACTAATTAAAAATTCCACCGATGCATTGGGACAATTGCGCTGTTAATATGTTCTGTAGGTTCTGTGAAAATTTAAAAAAGGGTGATGTCTTAAAATTCAAACATTATTTTAAAGTAAATAATTAAAATGTTCATGTGTTTATATAACACCAAAAATTATCATTGTAGGCACTATAATTATATCGATTTAATTACAGTTTTGGAGTTACATTTAATTTAATTTATTTTTGTTGAAGCTAGGATTGTTTTTTAACTAGGACTTCTATGAAGAATTATAGTATAATCTGTCGACTTTAGAAATATTTGATTTTTATTATAAATGCACTTGTCTTAGATTGACACTTTTTATTGTTTGGTAAAATCAAGTAACTGAATAAAATTTGCAATACAAATTACCTACACAGAAGAAGGGTTGAATGTTCTTCAATACTCTTAGCTCCTTTACTCCTTAAAAAATGACTTCCGGATGGAGCAGGACTCTCTGAAGTTCTTATGTCAGTGAATCCGTGCAGAGCCGAGGAGAAATTGCTTCCACTCGGCTGGCCTCATTAAGTGGCAACAAAACAAAAGTCGACCACAACATTTCAAATCAAATATAAAAGTCAAAAATCCATCGAAGCCGAAACGAGGGCGTTGAGGGACTTGGCCAGGACCTGCATGCAAATGTTTCCAGGGGTGGTAGATCCCTAGGATTGCGGGGGTTGGGGATTGGGCTGGGCTAACCGCAGTCGAGGCACCAAGACGCCGGCAATGAATGAGAATTTGCTTTGCGGAAAAACTTAAACACCGGAAACAATTAATTCCACTTGAATTAACATATGCACAGATTGGCCTGCCGAGGGGCGGAGGGTTAAAGTGGCCAGTGGGAGGAGGGGCATTCTAATCGAGGACCTTCGAAAGTGTTGAATGCTTGTGGGGTTGATTGATCGCCATCGCCCCTCGGTCCTTGGATGAGTACTCCCCAGGAAAATTTTCGCCATAAGCTTTCCCACAGCCATTCGTGTTTATGAGCCAAAACTTTTGATAGACTCGCGGAGGTAGGGTTAGAAATAAACACTGGAATGGATATATTTTAAATTTTATAGATTTACCTTGGCGAAAATTTTAATTTTAAAATTATTTCAGTAAATTAAACACACTAACATGGTAAGTTGTTGGGAAGAAGTTTAAATTTTAAAATTTAAAAGAAAATTCAAATTTCTTTCAGGAAACATACTGCATTTCAATAAAACAATTTAAGGTGGCATGGTAAATAAAACTCAAACATTCTCGTCAGAACTAAGATAATATATTTGTTTATAAACAGACCAATACTAAGTCGTAGAAATTTTCCCCCGTGTAATATCATTTAGAGGGGGCTAAGGAAAATAGTTCGGTGTACCGCATTGCGAGCAAACAGTTTCAGAAACGAGTTAAAAAGTTAATTGCCAGCGGACAGGTAATTTCTGGCACACTTCAAGTGCAAATGCCATTAAGTAATATGCAAACAAGGGTGGCTCCACCCCCGAGTCCACCGATTTCCACCCTTCCCCGGATCGCTGGCCAAGTCAATCAAGGAGCAGGAGTTGACAGGCTCGACTGCCGCGACACGAAAGCCATAAAGTCACGAAATGCCTAAAACTTTAGCGGCGATCCTGGAAGGCGGGATGGGTCCCGGTCCCAGTCCTCCCATCCTTCCTCGTCCCGTTGCGTGTGCCTTGCGGTTAGTTTCACATTTAGTTCTAAAAGGAACAGACTGGTGCACTCAGAAGAATATTAGCTTTCGATTCGTCTTTGAATCATAAAGACTTTTTATATAACTCATTCGACAAAATTCATATTTTAAAAGTTATAAGTCACACTGTCATTATATGCTTGATTTTTTTTGGAACATGAAAGTACATTAATAAACTACCGTTGAAGCAAAATTTCTTGGTTTTTACATTTTTTTGCACCACTTAAACATTATTTCCTTTACGTCATGTCTAGAGATAAGTCAGTATGTGTCACTAAGCTCACATAAAAGCCCTTACCGAGCCGAGAAGAATTCAGTTTCCACCGAGAAGTACCAGTGCAACCATATTTAAATTTAAATAACCGAAAATATAAAATATATCTCGAACTAAGTGTAGAGCGGAAACCAAACTACGAAATGGGTGTTAGAGGTGAATAATCATTTTTGGTGGTACCCATGTTTTTAATATTTGAATACATGTTTTAAATTATTAAATTAAACAAAAATCATCTTTTTCAGGAATATTTTGTCTAATCTTGTTATCAGTGGTGCTGCAAAAGTCATTCCAAGCGGCGTTATATGCACTTCCGGTAATATTATTATTTAGTACATATAAAGCATATTTAAAATATAATTTCTCCATATAAGCTCCCAATTAAAAAAATATAATTATAATTTCAGTTTGAGCAACAAGTTCTTAATGCCCACAACTATTATCGGGCCATGCATAATGCTCCACCATTGACTCTGAACCCCAAGCTAAGTCAACTGGCGTCCAACTGGGCCTATGTAAGATTTTTGTAAATCTTTCAAAATCGGTTTTTAAGAGATTATTTCATTTATCTAGAAATTGATGGCTAAGAATCGCATGGAGCATAGTCAGAACGGATATGGAGAAAATATCTACTGGGCCTCCTTCTCAAAGCAGGAAGGTAAAGATGCCGTCAAGGCCTGGTACAATGAGATTTCTCTTTACAACTGGAATTACCCCTCGTTTAGTAAGCAGACTGGGCACTTCACTCAGTTGGTGTGGAAGAGTTCAACTGAGTTGGGTGTAGGTTTTGCCAAAAGGTAAGTTTCTTGCATTGGGGAGAAATACGAATTTTACCTATAAATTTTGTATAGCGGCAATGGCATCTTTGTTGTGTGCAACTATAATCCCCCTGGAAACTACAAAAACCAGTTCAAAAAGAACGTAGCTCATCCAACTTATTATCATTAACATTCCACATGGAGGAATAGTTGAATACCAAAGAATCTAAATATGCTTTTGTAAGTTTAGCACATTTAGTGTTTTTATTTAAGATAATCGAAGAATCTTAGTATTACATCTTATTTTACTTAGTAGAATCAAAGCAACTTATAATATATTAATTGTCCAACATTTAAATTATATTGTTATATTTATAAAATTGCAATAATTATGTTAGATACATTTTGAGATTAACTATCTTAAATAAATATTCAATAATTCGATCTATTTGTCGTTAGTCTCCTGAGTAGATTTAATAAATAATATATATTTATCCAAAAAATACACAGGAATTCAATAAATACTTTTTCGATTTTTTTTTCAGTGCAGAGCCTTTGAGCCCGGGTGTTGGCCAGGTGGGAAGAGGTGGTGGGCTCAGATTAGGGACGTGGTGAGGTGACCGCACAGCGCGTGCTCACGTTTAGGCGTAACAAATTACCATTAAACTGCAGTCGGCCCTGCCCCCCTGCCCCACTGATTATTATTTAATGATGAACCCGGTCAGATTGTCCCAATAAACAAAAGTCTGGGTCTCGAGGGCTGGTTCATAGTCGACTTCCCCGCCTAATTATACGTCATACGATATACACACATTTATCCAGTTGCCCTGGGACGTGAGCCGGCAATTCGTTTAGGGGACGAAGTGGGTCTGGTGTTGTTCACCCACTTTCTGGTTGTAAAAGGCTCACTTTGCCAGTCGGCTTTCCAAAGCGTGTTCCATATCTGCGATCCAATTCGAATTGGAGAGATTTGGATAAGGAACAGGATATTCAGATGCCTTCGAAATCGGGTTTCCATTGCCAAATGTACTCTAAAGGTTTGGTCAATAATACAATATTCAATATTAATTAATATTAAATAGGTTACAATTTATATGTGGTTATATTTAAAAGATGTTAACTCCTCAAATGTTAAGTCGTTTTATATTCCTTTGATTTGCACTTTAATTTAAGAACTATTTGTTTATATTTCCTGCAATCTGATTTCAGAACTTAAGTGATATTTAGATTTATTGATTGCTACAAAAAATCATAAACCTGTGCTGCGCCTACTCCAGCTCATTACTTCAGCTTGCTAGGTAAAGTAGAGTAGCTATATCCCCTAATCTAATAGATATATTTCTTCCACATAAACAATTATATAAATGAGTATCTGGCGCTGTTTGTGTCGGTGTGTCTGCATCCGCCCGGTGACTAATATCATCGAAGGAATGCAATTATTCAAGTGCTGCCAGCCAATTCTGGAAAATGCCAAAAACAGCCAAACGAATTTTCCGCACCGTCAGCAGGCAGGGCAGGGCAATTTTTTAATTTCTTAATTTTTGCGAGCTCATGGAAGAATTAGCCACGTTGCCACTTGGCCACGTAGCAGCCAAGATGTCGCTGGACCCTGGTCCAACCCCCGGCGAAGGGCGGTAATATTTCTCTATCTATCCAGTGGAGGCGATGCTGAGCTGTGGCCTTTGTCTTAGCACCCCCTATTTCAAGATCTCAGGGTATATTGCTTAAAGGGACATCAACAATCTTAAGTTAATTGAAACAGCTTGCCAATATATGTATATTTTAGTATGACAAACAATGAAATCTGGATGACTATAAAGAAGTTTTTCAATAGCAACATATGATATGATATTATACTATAAATAAATACTTTTAAATGATAAATGAACATATCTGCTCAACTTATTCTTACAAAATGTATTTATTTCTCCCATCTAAACGGGTATATTTAAGTCGTAATAGCCAGATTCCTATTTTCTTAATTTTTTCCCTCTGCCTTCTCTTTGGGATTGCTCTGCTGGCAAAGTTTATTCATTTAGAAAATTTGCTCATTTTCACTGTTCGAGGGGGCGAGTTATTGTTGCTGCCAGGGATCTCGATCCGGCATCCGGCATCCAGTGCTCGTCGTCCAAGGGGGTTAATGTGGTACGTGAGCACAGTTTTCATATAAATTGCGGCCAATAACATTTTTCAGTTGGCAGGACAGGAAAAACGCGAACAAAGCAGAAGAGCAGGACGGCTGATGGCAAAAAAAAAGATGAACAAAAGCTGCTGATGATGGCTTCTTTTTGGTTGGTCTGTTCCTCGGCCCAAAATCCGGCTCATTAAGCCCTGGGCGGTGGTCATCTCGGGTGTTGGCCTTGCGGTGGAGGTGGGTGGGGAAATCCGGACACTTGGGCCGACTTTTTCCTGCCCTCCTTTTTTTTCGGCCATTAGCCAGCAGGGCTGGGATGCGATGGACGGGCAAATTATTCCCCAAATACCCCGAGGTAATTATAAATGTCATTCCACGCTCGGCTTAGGCCAGAGACAAGGACGCAGATAGCGGGTGGAAAGAGAGGGGGCTAGAGGCCAAGACAAAGACGGGGATGGACATCGGATCAGGTCCCGTCAGTCGGACGCCGTGTTTTGTCTATCATAATGACTGGCAGGCGGACATTTGGACATAATTGTTCAATTATTTTGTTACTTATTGCCAGCCAGCATCACTGCCACCCTGTAACCCACAAAACGGCACCCAAAATCGGAGGAAAGACAGGAAAAAAATCCATACTAATTCATAAAATCAAGCAACAAAATCGAAATCGGAATTAACAAAGTTGATTTATATACCTTTTTCTGTTTTAATCTTAAGTAATTTATGTATATTTTCATATCACTAAGATTTTTACAAGTGCTTAAGTTAATTGAGGCAAACTTATAAGTTTCTCTGCTAATTTGATGCATCTACTTTCCCCCAGTGTAGCGTTGTTTTGTTAATTTTGTTGCTCTGTCTTTTGCCATCCACTTTGGATATTTGTCAATTAGGTATTTGCGCCAAATCTTGGACTTCCCAGGGAGTATAAATATGTTATATATGTGTCTAAGAGCGCCACGCCCCCGCCGCCCAGTGCAGCACCACATGACAGCAAGTCAACAGGAGACACCCACAAATGGAACACGCGACAGTCGAACGTCAAATTCAATTACAAAAGCCAACTCTGCGGGGATTTAGAAAGCGGGCGGAGTGAGAGTATGGGTGGAGTGGGCGTGGCAAAACCTCAGGTGAGCTACGCCATTCAATTATAAATTTTCAATAAAAATTTGTGCCACTTGGCCCGCACTACAACGATTGTTTTTGACATTTGAAAAAAGGAGGGCGCTTTTCTACTATCCTGCCCATTACTTATGCAATTTCACACATTATTGCATAATGGAACCCCATGGGGTGTTCTTCCGCCATATATGGCATGGGTGTGCTAGCTCCGGGCGAAGGAGTTCCGTCATGTCAGTGACAGTTTCCATGGAATAACTGAGGACAGACGGAACAAGGTCTCGGTATTCTGTTTCCAAGAAAAAAAATATATAAAACATATTAAATGGAAATCAGCTCATCCAACATCCTTATTGACTGACATACAAATCGGCGTGGAATGTGATCGGTTTTGTTAAATAATATTTCTTTATTTCAATTATTTTTAGTTGACAGTCCTTACTTTAACAATGAGTTTATGAGTTGTCAAATAATACATGTAAGATATTTGATTGTTCATTTCGTCCCAAAACAACAGTTTAAGATATTAATTTTGATGATGCTTAAGACTCGGCCATTTTTATCTATAGGCAGTCAATCTTTCTTGAATTTTAAAATTAAAAAGGTAATAGTTCTCTTGAAATTTTTTTAAATGAGTACTTTACAAAGAATGATTACATTTTCAAAAATTGTCATGCAATTATTACATTATTTCTTGCAAATTAAAAGACTTGTGATTAATCACATTGGATTTCAACACAAAATTTAAAGTGAAAAAATGTTCAAAAAAAATACAAGTCCAGTAATTTTGAAGTTGGGGTGTTTGGCATCTGAAATTAAAAAAATATTATTTTCGGTCAACTCCAAAAACTAGCTTTGACGACTCACAAATGATTTCATTGCGTCGAAGGTAATCTTCTTTGTAACCAATTGAAATGGGTTATTTGAGTCGATTCCATTTTCCTGCAAAATGTCAAGGAACGTAGTAATAAATCCCGTTGACAGAAGATTCTTGATATCCACTTTAAGGTAGAAGTAGCGAAGTTTCCGGCAGCTTTTAATAAGTTTAAAGAAATCGTCAGTATGAATATCTCTTATGTCCGTTGTAAGGTTTTCTAAGGTATTCGAGTGTTTTAATATCCATGGGAGAGCCATTTCTTCATATGTAAAATTTGATTCAAAGCAAATCGTTTTAAGACTTTTGAAGAACGGCAAAGTTTTTGTGGAAATAAAGCAACATTTAATTTCGATCGTTTCCAAGGCCTCAAATTCTTGGTCATCAATTATAAATTGTATTTCCGCTGACGAAATTTTTAAATTTCGAAGTCTGTTGAGAGGAACGCAAACTTCAAAAATATTTATCATTTCTTGAATGGGTGAAAAATCCAGTTTCAAAACTTCCAAATCAGTAAATTGCTTGACAAGTCGACCTGGAAAACAAAAATAAAGTTTAAGGGATGACCATTATATTAATCTGACTTACTTACCCAGTCCCTTGTAAATGTTATATAGGTCTAAGCCTTTCAAGCGGGGATGTCCCATTAATGTGCCAATTATTTTTGACAAGAATTTAAAATCAATACGAACATGAATTTCGACTGATTGCAATTTTACTCCAGACCTCAGGAACCTCTTCATATAGGATTTTTTCTTAAAATCTATATCTATTGTTAAGGATTGCAAATTCTCGAAATTGTTCTCTATTAGCCAGGCTAGTGACCTATATGAATTAAAGCAGTTTGTAGCCTCAATGTGACGAACAGTTGATCCGCATAACGGCAGTATAGTCTCTAAGAACCGCGATGAAGAATTGTGGATCGAAACGCGTTCATATTTATCTCGGATATGGAAAGCAAAAGCTCTCCCCAAATTTTTATTAACTTTTGCCAGCTGCCACTTGTCAAAATCATTCAAGTTTTTAAATATCAAATCGAGAACCTCAAAAGGCAAATCAAGCAAGTTTGGGGTTTCCATTTTTCACACTTCAACAGACCGGCTTCGCAGAACAAATTGATAATTCTTAGCACGATAAAGCGGTAATCGATATTTAAATTCCAGGGCTGCAAGAATTAATACAGTGTTGGGAAATTACTACAATTGTTAATTTGGTATATACGAAAGAGGTATCTTGGAAACTAATTTTGGAATAGTTTTAAGGGTGTATATGGACTTCTTCCACAAAAAGTACAAATTTTACTGTATTTTTGAAGTGTAAAATCTTAAATTGCTTCAAAACATAAGGTAATATTAACAAATAAATAAAACGGTATTTATAGATAAACTGACGCATCTCTGGTATTTTTTAGTGCCATACGGTGGACACGATTCCACAACAAAGGGTAAAACAGCAAATTATATTTTCGGAAAAACATTTTGTATATACAAAGCTAAAGGAAAAAAAAGAACTTTTTAGTGAGCACAAGTTTATATAATACCTTTACTAAGACTGGTGTAATAATATTTATACTATGGTTTATTTTCGCGATCTAGCTAAGGTTATTTGTATTCGAACTAAGACCCTTTCTCAATTATATTCTTATTTTCCTGGGATGGGGAGATTTTCAATACGGACTTTCAAAGTACTTCCTTATTAACTGGTACAATTGCACAATATCCAGAGTGCGATGTGACTGCATTGAGTCCTTGCGCAATGTGAGTTTGGCATGAATTTACATTCACTCATAACACCACACATTCTGTGTCTATCAAAAACTGAAAAAATTCCGAGAAGGCCAGTTGGCATGCAGATTTATGCATCATCTTCCGAGGCCTTTGTGCCCGCGCCGCGAATCATTCAAATCCGATCCAAAGGGTGACAATTCTCGGCGGCGGATTGAACCCGTTCGAGTTCGCGTCCGTGCTGGAGAATGCGTGTGAATCGCATTGAATCGCTCAATGACATATCGGTAAATCAGTGCCATAGGGAGGCGGTGGATGTGGGGGCGGAGCGGGCGCGGGGCACCGCATTCCGTGGCACATAAAGCAAAAGTTCGACCTGGGCACAGACCCATCCTCGAACCCAGACCACTCTCGGTCCGGTACTGACAGATGGACAAGAAGCAAAACAAAGCAAAAACAGCCACGGAGAAACACAAAAATATCGCAATGATCATAAATATTATTCCGTTTTGATGTCCCCTGGCAGCCCACAAAACTTTTCTGTGTAAGTGACAATACAGTCAAGCTTCCTTATGAGTGATTCTTTTGGGTTTAACATTTTTCGAAGGTACCTTGTATATCCGTCCCGATGTTCGTTTATGAACTTCCCGATTTAGACTGCCTAAAGTTTAGGATCATATTTTTAAAGTAGCTGGGAAACTTAAGCTTTTGGAACTCTTCTTTTGCAGTTCCCCAAGCTTGTCTTCGGAAAGCTTTTAGTCATTGTCACAAGAGGAAGAAATGCAATTTGTGCTGCGCTTAGCGGAAAACCGAAGACAATCCTGAGATCGCAGTGTTTATTTTATCTTGTGCTTCGTCAGCTTCAATCGATCTCGATTCAAAATCGAAAAATTGTTTACAAATCTTATCTATTTATTTATTTAAGTTTACATACGTTATATTTGATAGCCTATGGCTTTTTAAAAGAAAAAGAGTTTTACACAGAAAGCTTAAAATTTTATTTTAATTTCAAAATACTTTAAGTAAAGTTATTTGGAGGTCCGTGAACTAATCTTCCAAGCCCTATTTGTTCGTGTCTCTTGATAAAATAAGGTTAGTTTTCAGTTATTGTTAAAAAAATGAAGTAGGTAAATATAAAAATATGTCCATTTTGGGGTTATACTACTTTTTATTAACGGTTTGCGTGGTAAAGGTTCCCCTGTATTTTGGTGCGATGATGTGGGGACGTCATCGTCAGGGATCGCCAAAAAGGGCTTTCCATTTTTCACACAGATGCAGATGCCGATGCAGATCCCCAATGCGAAATCGCCAAGAGGTCCGTCGGCGGCAAAAAAGGTGTCGAAGAAATTGTTCGACAACCAAGCTCCAAACTCCCAGTCAATGTCGGAAAGCTAAGGCCGGAGAGGAGGCCTTCTGCCTCCGATCTGCTGCATAAATGAGGCAGCCAGAGACACGCTGTCTGGCAATGCCGACTGCCTCGAGGCAGTCCCAAGACCCATTCGCAGTCCCAGTCTCATTCTGGAACCAAGTCGGGGCCCAGAAAAAGGCCGCCCGTCACTGGGGAGCTGCTTCGCATTGTCTTCCCTCGCCATTATTAGCTGAGGTGTTTGTTAAAGCAGCCGCGACGATTTGAATTTCAGCACTTTCCGCGAGCAGCTGGGGGAAATATTAAAATAGTTCACTCAACGATCAGGCATCTCGGGGAGCTGCAATCGTCTCCAGGATCTCCACCAGAATTCAACGTCCACCGAGATCTGCAATTTCAGCATTCTATGCAAAATATGATAGAAATCTGAGGAAGCTGGTCCGACTGCTTGTTGGCATTCAGCGCGAAGAGATTCAAAATCATATGCATTTCTTGTTCATCGACCGTTTATCCATATATGCATGCAATCTCCTCGACAGTGGAACATTTCTGTTTGTCTACCACCAAATATGTCCTATATAGCTAAACGTTGAGGGAGCTATGCAATAAGAGATGACCAATATTAAAATAAAAAAAAAATGTTTTTTAAATAAATGATCTAAGATTTTTTTGATACCAAATGTGGTTTTGATTTGTTGCAGAAGCTTTTTGCTCCGCACCTAACTTGCATAGCTTATTTTTGTTAGGAAAGCCCACAAATAACTACGAATTGAAAATTTAAAAAAAATTGTTTGGGTCAGTTCCATCTATATAGAGTACTTGCATTTTTGTAGAACTTATTATATAAATTACTATATATTTCTAGGGGTGGATAGCAATATATATATCGATTTTACAAAATCTATCTTTAAAGTTCGTTCTTGAAAATTGTATTTCGATTTTTTAACGGCTCAACAATTTTAAGTTATTTAACTTACAATTTTTAAGGTCAATGTTGAGTTTCATTAAACTTTATGATTTGTAAGGAAACACGTTTTTAAAGACATTACTTTTTCGGGATAACCATCATTTTGTAAATCATTTCATCTATAAATATTCAGCATCGATCTTTCACCTTTGATCCACTGTGATTTTCTGTGTGCCTCGAGCACGGATCTTCGATCTAGTCGATCGGCCTGCGAAATATGATTGCTGTTTGGCATGGACGAACAAAACTGAAAACTCCAGTTACCATGTGGCGGACGGCAGCTATACAAGCTACAAGGAATGTCAACACGGATCCAACTTTTTATGCAGTGAAAAAAATTTAACTTTTACTTGACATAAGGAGAAAATAATTAAAAAACATGATATTTGATTTGAGTTATTATTTCTCAGTTATCCTTTAAAAAAAAAATTTTACAAAGTAGTTTCCATAGAACATCAATTAATTAATTTCATAGTTTATAAAGTTCCACTTTCAAATCAAAAAGTTCTATCCTAAGTCACCACCTTAATTTATTAAAGCTGAATTTTGTTGTCTACTAAAGCCCTCTTGTAGAAGTATTTTTAAGCTCGAGAAAAGGAACTAAAATGTAATGTAAAGCTATCTATATTTATATTCACTGAATCTTTTAGCTCAATAATTTCTATGGATTTAGAAATATTAAAAAGTTTTTTTTTTTGCTAGTGTGTCTTTGGGGCTTCTGCCTCCGCTGATCTTGTTACCGATTTCGATTTTGATGGCGATTTTGACTGGTCGAGAAGCGCTGACAATTCGCCTGAACTGCGGCGGAGTAGCGCGATGGGGATAGGGATGGGAATGGGCTCGGGCATGGGCATACATAAATCCCCCGAATGGGCAGCTTCGGATCGAAAGCAGCATCAGAATGTGTCGAGCCATTGTCACTGCATGCCGCGGATCCACGATACTTTATTCATTTATTCCAATAATAATAATGCAATGCAAACATTGATTGTCATCGATTGTCAGCCGAAGGCTGCGCACGCGCATTCGCCTCGACCGGATTCGATTCTGGAGGGGATGGGTTAGGGGCAGGGGGAGACTTATGCCCTTTTAGGGCATTTTTGATAGGTGACAGATTTTGTGCGCTCGCCGCGCGATTTGTGGGCAAAATTTATGAGTTGTTGTCAGCCGGAATGTCGCTGTCCTTGTTATTGTCTCGCCGACGCTGCCGTGATTTCCTGGCCATATTTACATTTAATTTCAGTTTATTATTTATGCCCCTTTGAGCCCCCGGCCCAGCGGAATAATCCTGTTTTACATAAAAAATTGTTTCAGTTTTTATTTCATGGCCCTGGACGAAATCTGATTGGAGCCATGCTGACCATGGAGAGCTGCGGAGCCGGGAGCGTCGTGTAATTGCTTTTTGCGTTGGTGAATTTAAATGAAAATGAATTCAATATTGCATTTTCACGCCGAAATGCTTCCAAAAACAGATTTTTCATTTACACTTTTTGAATGGCGCAATCCGGATTACATGTCCCACGGGCCCAAAGCATTGATTCTGCTCCTGCGCATTGAAAGGGGAGCCCCAAGCCGTCCCTTTTCGCCCAGTGGCTCAAAGGACCCGCCACCCATCCACTTGCCCCTCCCACGCCCCCAAAAAATGACGGACACTGCAAAGGCTCTCCGTATTCTGAATGCCCTTTGTGGGACAAAGGACTCGCTTTCGCACACTTTTTCAGTGCCTTTCCTGGGGAAATTAATCAACAACGTGCGAGAAATTAAAGGCAAATCAATTTGGATGCTGCGAAGAATCCAAAGAGCTCAGCTTGGCTTTCGTTGCTTTTTCCGGTCGTCCGGCCAACAGGCGCTTTATATATGTTTTAAAAGATATATGTATCTTATTGAGGAAACATCAATGTAGGTATTTTCAATATGTAAGGAAATTGAACTTTTAATGATTACTCGTAGATATTTTACGGAAATATCCTTGTATTCATAGGTATTTAATTTAACAAGTTAAAAAACTTCTCAAGCATTATTATATATCATATTATTTTATTAATAAAAATCCACACTTTAAAAAGTATACTTCAGATACATTGCAAAAGAATGTATTTAATTTACTTTGCAAGACAAAATGACTCCCTGGTTCATGGATGGTTAAAGTATTAATATGAGTTCTGACTTCCGCAATCTGAACCATCAGCATATATGCACATAATATCTTCAATCTAAACTGGGATCCGGGTCGGACTCCTTCAGTTTTGTGCGACATTATGCATACAGTGGCTGCGGCGTGTTAAATTTATTTATTGCCACCGAAATTATGGGGTTTTGTACCCTCAATGACGAATGATCTACATTTTGATGGCTGTCGCCAGTTTTTTGTATGGCCGATTTGATTTCATTGCTGACCATTTTGTCAGATACGGCATGACTTTTTAATGTACTTCACTCCGATTCGGGCAGAGCAGATTCGTTTCGATTCGTTTTTGTCATTTTAATGTGCATTGAATTTTAATTCCCAAAATCAAAACACTTTCAAAAGCAGACGAAGCCAACACGATCTAGATATACGATTACGGGGCACCAAAAGTTTGTCAAAATTTTAAAAAGCCGACCCTGCCTGCCTCTCAAAATTTATGCCAATTTCTGTCTCCGTCTCTGGCCCATAAAAACAAAATACCTTGCGTTGTTTTTTCCCGTTCGCCTTTTGGTCACTGCTCTGAAGGCGGAAAAAATGATCTGATTTATATTTGACACAATGGTCTGTTACAATATATCGCACGCCAGAGCCGCACAGGTACCCCCTACACTATATACACCGGTACATAACTCAGTTGCTCGCTCTGATACATAAAACATAAGGCTGATACGTGGGTTGAAAGGGAGCGAGGGATTGTCGGGGGTGTAAAGTGCGAACTGGGGCCGTAAATCCCGACCAGACGACATAAGGCGGCCATTATGATGCGCAATAACTCGAATCGCAAAATATAAAAACCAAGCAGAGTAAAACAAAAAAGCCTCGCTCATACGCCACTTGAGGCCCAATTATATCGCAATGAGTGCTCGTAAAATATTGGGGTGTTGACAAATTATGGTAACGCCTTTGCCGGATCACGTCTTGCACGTTAATCAGCTCTTTCGGCTGTCCAAAGCTTACGATTCGGCATAGAGTTGGGATCCATAAGTCTGATTCCGTTTTTGCTTCGATTTATCACTGCGAGACGGGCTGGTAAAAATGGAATAGTTTTGGAAGATTGGCTTAACGACTCTTAACTTTGATCGTTTTGATAATATGTAGTAAAACATTGAATCATAAATAAAATTAAGTT